CACAGAATCGGAAATAGGCTCCAGGCTCCGAGCCATCAGCCCAGAGCCTGACACGGGGCTCAAACTCCCGGACCGCGAGATCGTGACCTGGCTGAAGTCGGATGCTCAACCAACTGCGCCACCCAGGCGCCCCCAAATTTTTTTTTTTTTAATTTCACAATGAAGGAAGTTAACTTAAAGAGGGTCAGCAAACAACACTGCTGGGTCTGAACCCCAAGGACTGCTATTTTACAGAAGAGGGCAAGCCAGTCCATTCTGCACCTCCTTAAAGGTAGGGGTGACAGCAGTACCCTCCTCCCCCTGGCAGGGCTGTGCTGAGGACAAAATGAGCTTCCGCAGCAGCGCCTGAAGCCTTGCCAGGCACAGAGCAACTGCTCGGGAAGTGTCAGCCTTTGTTAGCATTTGTGATGGCTAACTGTCAACCTGAGCCACAGGTGCCCACGTATTTTGCCAAACGTTATGCCAGGTGTTTCCGTGAGGGTATTTTTGGATGAGATAAAAACTTAAATCAGTAGAATGAGTAAAGCAGACTGCCCTCCTGAGTGTGGGTGGGCCTGATCCAATCCGGTGAAGGCCTGAACAGAACTAAGAGATCTCCCTGAAGTAAGAAAATTCTTCCCGCCCGACTGCCTTGGAGCTGACATCAACTTCTTCCCTGTCCTTGGACTCAAACCGCAACACGCTCTCTTTCTAGGTTGCGAGCTGCTGGTCTTTGGCCTGGAACCACGCCACTGACTCTCCTGGGTCTCCAGCTTGCTGACTGCAGATCTTGGGACTTATCAGCCCATAATTGTGTGAGTCAATTCCTCATAATAAACCTCTTTATGGATGTATATCCTGTTGGTTCTGTTTCTCTGCAGAGCACTGACTAATATAAGATTTACGACATTTGATCTCTTCCGGGTCTAATTACAGCTATAAAGTTCCAGCTCATGGCAGTTTCAGTTTGAAGGGCTCAAATCTGTCAGTGGTCACACCAGATAAGCGATCAGAGATCAGACAAGTCTCTCGGGGCCATGAGTCCCAGGGTCACCACTAAGCAGTGCAGACGGGGGAACATCCGAATCTAGCCGCAAGGCCTGCTCCTGGCAGCAACATACCCTGAACCCTCTCTCCCCAAATCCCTGGAGAGCCCTCACAGAGGACCTCGGCCACAGCGGGAAACAGGAGGCTGAGGCCAGAGGCTGGCACCTGGACCCTTAGCCAGCAAACACCCCTGAACCCTGGTCTGGTCACATCGAAGAGAGGACACCTTCACAAAGCGTGTATGAAGAGATCCTCACTCTGATACCCGGAAGTCAAATTAATGTAAATCCATTACGAAAACTTAGCATCTAAGGGAAAACCACTAGGAATGCTATTTGCACTGGGATGGATATTCTGAAGCCCTTGCAAAGCACGCCTGATAAATAAGAAGATCGCTCTTTAATTGTTTTAAAGTTTGCTTTTTTTAACGTTTATTCATCTCTGAGAGACAGAGAGAGACAGAGCATGAGCGGGGGAGGGGCAAAGAGAGAGGGAGACACAGAATCCGAAACAGGCTCCAGGCTCCGAGCTGTCAGCACAGAGCCCGACGCGGGGCTTGAACCCATGAACCGTGAGATCATGACCTGAGCCGAAGTCAGAAGCTCAACCAACTGAGCCACCCAGGCACCCCTAATTGTTTTAATATAATTTAAACTATTTGCCAGCTTCTTAAAATGGTTTAAGGTGGGCAAAGACTACCAGGAATACATTGGATACATTAAAAACTTGTTTCAAATTCATAAAGGAAAGCAATCAGGAAGGTAAAGCATATCAAGCACCTGAAACTACAGCTTCCCGATCGCACGCTAAGATTCCCACTGATCAGTTTACCTACACTTTACAGTATATGTCAAACACCCTGTGTGACAAATATTCTACCCACTCACCTAATGATGAGAGACTGAGGGGAAGCAAGATCGCTGCAAAATCATTTACAGCGTGTTTAAAAGACAGATATGAATGTTTTCGTGTTTTGCTAAAGATTAAACGTTAGCTCTAGAATATCAGCGTAAGAGGCCCTCGTCCTGAATTCCATGTGCAAAAACCAACCGTTAAACAGACCACATTCCACTAAGAAGGAGAAAAGAACAGTTCCAACTTCTGAGTTTAGAGAAAATGTGTAATTCTCTAGATTCTATTTCACATTTTTCTCACCCTGTGCAAGAAGGGATATTTCACTGTCCAATCTTTTCTGCTTCATTCAGCCAAGTAAGTACCATTCAGATTATAAATTTTCCATGGAAAACACATGAAGAATTTTATACTAGATAGCAATTGATTAGCAAGACCTTAAACTTCATTGATAAAAGACGTCCATCCTATTTTATTTGAGCATGTTTTCAGAGGATAAACCACTGAGTTTGATGGCTTAGACCAATGACAGAAAAGGAACAAATCCTAAAGCATGGCCCTGTGATGGGGAGGGACACCTGGGCAGGGCTGCTCCATAAGCAGAGCCAAAGCAATTCTCGTGGGGGCCATCACCGGTCACTTACACCTCTTCCCACCTCCAGCGCTCTAAGACAGAGCCGGTTGTCATGACGGACCCCAGCAAAAAGCTGGCCTTGAATAGCTGTTAGTTGAACAGAATTACTGAACATGCGTAAAGACGTTTTACACAGCCCCCCACCCCCACACACACTCACAGCACCCCACAATCTCTCATCCAAACTCCTACACGTCCTGAGACCTGAGCCGATTTGAACAGGACAAGAGGGGCTTGCCTCTCAGGAGTTGACTGGGTTTGGGCCCAGACAGCTCTTGTAACAGCATGCAGACTGGACACTCACCGACTATCGCACTCGGACCAGCCCCACAGCAGCGGAGACGAGCCACAGCAGCAATGATTCGCAAGCTCTCCATCACCGGGGTGTGGATCAGAGATACAGAGCCAAACACGTTTAGTCAAGGAAGGAAAAAACAAAAAACAAAAAAAAAAAACTAAAGGCAGAAAAGAGAGAAGGAGAAAAGGAGACACTAACTCTGTTCTTCACCTTTCAAAAAAGTCCTTGCTGAGCCAGATGCCAGTGGAGGCTCTGAGAAACCAGGATAAAGACACAGGATTAAGAAAATTGAAGAGCTGGAAAGGCCAGGAGGGCCTTGGAGACCCTTCCTGTTCGGCTGCTGCAAAGAACCACAAGGGGGAAGGTGGTGGGGGTCTGGGAGGCCTGGTCCCAGCTCCGACCTGGCCCTCATGGCCCCGTGTCACTGCCTCCCTTGAGCCGGGATGAGGGGACGAGGGAGGAACAGCCTCTAAGGACCCTCAGCGCTGCCCTTCCGTGATTCAATATTGCCATTTCCCCACCACACACCCAAGGACGACCTGCCAAGCAGAACAGAGCAGGAGAGAAACTACTTCTCCTGCGGTCTTCTCTCCTCTCTGGCCACACCACAAAGGAAACAAAGAGCAGACAAGCCCAGCAGACAACTTACCACATGAGTCTGTCCTGGTGAGCTTGCCCTGGGAGAGTGCTGGCAGAGGCTGGGCCCTGACGGGCTGCCTGAACTGACATACCAACGCCATGTGCGGGAATCGACTCCAAAGGCAACTCAGAGAGAAGACGGATCCTCCATGAGAACCCGGCTCGGGCAGGACCTCGGCACAACCACCCTCCTGCACCCTCCTCAGCAGTTTTCTCAGTCTGCTTGTTGGGGCAAATCCTAAGACCGTGAGCAGTTCTGGAAGTACAATGGGTTACGTAACCCCAGGCAGCCCAGCCACCCTATCGGCTCATCATGTCGAACCGCCCCCAAGACAAAATGACGCGCCCAAAAATGTGATATCCCTAAGTCGAGGGGCGGGGGCGGCGCAGGGGAGCAGAGCTTTGTGGCCGGTGGCTGGCTTTGCCCAAAAACTAAAGAGGAACAAAAAGTCTGCTGTTCGTCTCACGGCTAGCTGGGAGCCGGGGGCGGAGTACATTTCGCGGGCTCCCAGGGCCACACTTGGAAGAGCCCTGGGAGCCACGGATGCATTCTTGGGGACACTCCAAGTCTCCCCGAGGGTTCTCCCACTGTGTGTCCTCCTCACAGTGAGCATCTAGTAAGACGTTAGCCTGAGCATGTGTATTGTGCATCAGCCAGCACCTCGAATGTGGAACAGGGCCGGCGTTTCCCTCCTGTTCACTAAGCCTCCTGCTCATGTGACAGCGCTGAGCTCTGCTTCTCAGCCGTCCCACGGCGCCTGCCACCATGTCCCGACAAGAGCCTCCCGCCACCACGCCCCGCAGGGTTTGAAGTTTCAGCAGCACACCGCTCTGGCATTTCTCCGTCTTCGGTCGTCACATTCAGAGAAAGCGAAACCATTTCCACGGGCTGGATGTTGCCTGGATTTCAACGGGCACAGATGCCACCGGGAGCCCAGGGGCTAGTTCACGTGTTTGCACAAATGCAGCTGGGGCGCCACCTCCTCCGGGAAGCCCTCTGGGTCCTCCCCCAAACATTCCCCTCCAAGGCTCGGCCAGGCACCCCGTTACCGGGTTCCCACGTGCCCATGCCGATCACTGTGTTCACCACAATACACAGTTTGCACCAGCTCATCTGTCGACCCCGCTGCACTGTATGCCTGGGTGGCCGAGAACACCTGCCTCGGGGTCTCGACCTGCATGCAGATCTCACCCCTCACAGCTCAGGGATCTTAGGATACCGAACCTCTCGTGACTTAGTTTCTTTACCTGTAGAAAGGGGATAACAGACCCCACTTATTGGGCTCTGGCCACATGAGGTGCTATTTCAGCCACTGGGATTCAGGGCTGCACAAAGTCCTTGCCCTCAAAATACAAACCCATGTAGCTCATGACTAAGTCAGGGGAAGAAGAAAAGACAGGAAAGGGAGAAGGGAAAGGGAGGGGTAGGACCAGTCTTCCTGTAAAGCGGTCACAAAAAGGTCTCTCATGAAATGCCATTTGGAGAAAGTGAAGAGGGAATCATGAGGCCATCGGGGCGTAAGGTGATCCAGGTGCCGGGCAACAGCAAGGACAAAGGCCCTGAGGCAGCACATTCTTGGTGAGTCCAAGGATTAGAAAGGAGGCCAGTGTCTCTGGGATGGAGTGGGCACAGACAAGAGTCAAAAGGACAGGAAAGTCCTGTCCCTTAGACTTCACAGGCCTCAATCAGATAGAAGCCTGCTGGAGGTTTGGAGCAGAAGGGTTAAACCATACGACGTGTGTAAAAAGACTCTTCGCTGGGAAGAGACTGCACAAAAGCAAGCAGGGAAGCGGGAGGCCCATTAGGAGCTCCCTGGAATAATCCAGACGTGAGATGGAGGTAGACTAGACCAGGGTAGATGCTGTGGAGCTGCTCAGAGACGGTCCAGTTCTGGACACACGGAAGCCAGAGCCAACAGACTTCCCAGCAAACTGAGGAGTGAAAGAAATACAAATGCCTCTGAGGCATTTGGCCTGGGCAACTGGAAAGACAGAAGCACCATTTACAAAGCCAAGGCAGACCACTGGAAAAGCAGGCGTAGGTGGAAACCGGTTCATTTTTGGTTGTTTGAGTTTGAGATGCCCGCAGGCGTGAAGAGGTGAAGGTGAAGAGGTGAGATGTGGACTCAGACCATCATGTCTGGCCTCCAGGGGAGAGGTTGGGTCTGAAGACAGCAGCTAGACAGTGGTCAGCACAGGGAAGGTTTTAAATCCTGAAGATTGGGGGAGGGCACTTGGGGCACAGGTGTTTACAGGAGAGCAAGGACTGAGCCCCAGGCCCCCCAACATCCCCAGGCTTGGGAGGAGCAGCCAGCAAGGTAGGAGAACAGAAGAATCAAGACCAAAGCCAAGGGACCAGATTTCCAGGAGAAGGGAGTGGTCGGCAGTGTTAAATCCTGAAGGCTAAGGACGGACCCCTGCACTGGACGAGGCCATCGGTGCTGAGGAAATGGTGGGGTCGCAGCCTGGACCCAGGTGAGAACAGAAGAGAAAATGCAGTCAGCTCACTGAGAAGCAGAGACGCAGCTATGGGCACCGCCTGTGGGGAAAATGGAGCCAAGAAGGATTATCTTTACAAAGGGAGAGATCACAGCCTGTCTCTGTGCTGATAGCACAGATCCAGGAGCAAGGGAAAACAGATGTAGACAGAAAGGAGATGTCAGAAATGTGTCCTTCCTTCCGCAGGTGGGCACGCAGGGGTGGGATTTGGAGCAAGAGTAGACAGAGGGCCACTTACGGGGCCAGAGTTCAGCACGAGGGCTAGGCACCCAGGCTGGGCTCCTGGGCCATCTCAGCGTCCCTCTACACTCAGGACACTCCTGACACATGGGAGGTCCTTCATGCTTAACGTGAGACAGAGCCATGAAAAGCTACTGGAAGCAAATCTGCACATTTTAAGCTGTCATCGGGCATTATTTCAAACAGGGGAAGAAAAGTAAACACTGCAGACAGAATGAGAACTGGGGCAAACTTTGATATGAACGCATCTGGACTTAACTCTAACGATGCCCCTTGCTGCTGTTCCACACACCATCCTACACCATCTCTGTTCAGAGCCGTTGCCTGCACCGGCTCCAAGCCCTGGTCTCGATGACCCCTTTGGGGAAAAGGAGCAAGCGAGAGCTCTCGTACGGTTAACGCTGCTCTGCTCCTGGGACACGGGGAAGACGTGACTGACGCAGGCATCCGTAAGGAGCGATATGAGCACAAACCTTGGCGGTATACAAAGGGTGCAGAAAGCAGTTCCCCATGTTTGCATCCCAGCACCCAGCTGTGTGCTATTTCCATCACGCCTGTCCTTATGTGTGACTCAGAAACTGAGCGTCAGCGAGAGGGAGCGGCACCAAGCTACGCTGAGCATCGCTACGGGTCACGCGTGCTGCTGGGGGTTCAAAATTCCCATCCTTAACCTTCACAGCAATTCTACGAGGCACTGTCTTCATCTCACGTTGGTTCTAGACGGCAGGTCTCAAAATCCCACAGCTCAGACTCTTTGCACTCAGACTTCTCCTCCTGGGCCCCTCACACCTTGCCCAATGCACTCCTGTGGCCACGCCCTCCCCCAGTCCTCACTGACTGAGGCCACCCTCCCTCCCTGGCAGGAAAGGCCCCCTTACCGGTGATGGTGCAGGCATCCCGGTACCCTCTGCAGCTGGGAGCATCTTCCACAGCCTCGCTTACATAGTGCTCCTCAGGGATGCCCGGGCTGCAGGCTAGGACTGCATGGTTGCACACCTCCAAAGGGGGCACGGAGTTGGCCAAAGTGTCGTCGTGCGGAGCTGTGGCGTCCAGCTTGGCAGGTTTCACGGGGAGGTACCCACTGCCATCGGGGGCCCCGCTGCCGGAGTCTGGGGCAGTTGGGTGGACAGGCCCCAGTAGGTCTGGCACACCAGCGGGGGCTCCTTACAGGGAATCTACAGGACAATCGAGAGAGAAGGGCAGAGTCAGTCGAGTCTCTGAAAAAAATAAAAATAATAAAATAAAAAATAAGGGCCCTGAGATGATGTGGGCTCAGATCACAAGTCCTGAAAAGCGTTTTCTTCAAGCCAAGGTATTTCCAAGCAAGTTCCTCGACTTTGATAAGAGAACTGCAGTCAATTGCAGAAATGCTTTAGCACGACAGTTCTCAAAGTGTGACCCGAGAACCCCTGGGGTTCCCTGAGACCAGTGTGAAGGGTCCACACACAAGGTCAAAGTAGTCCACTCTCATACTGTCACGGATGCACAATGGAGTTTTCCGGAGACCATATGATGTGTGGTGACATCTTTGCCCCGAAGGCTTATTAGTGGAATGTGTACTTCTGTATCCCTGTGGCTTGAATTTTTGTTTTGATTTCTAATACAATAGACGTGAATCAATATAACACGCATGAACAGAAGCTCTTGGGGATCCTCTGTGATTTTTAAGGGGTCCTGGGACCAGGAAAGTTTGAGAATTACTGCTCCAGTACATAATGTACTGACAGTTCTTTTTTATTTTTTTTTTAATAAGAAAGAAAACAAAAAGAGTGGAAAGTTAACAGATATCTCACCCAACATGGTACAGTCAGTTCTGAACAAAAACTACAGCCCTGGGCCTGTGACCTTTTCCTTCAACAAGAGGTTATTTACCACAATACACCAAGAGTCTCTATTCTATATTAATGAATTCAGCCTTCATTAAAATGAACACACACAGAGGACTTATGAAGCCACACAGCAATTGGGGGTCTGGGTGGGGCCTGCCTGTGGCCCCTCTGTCCCTCTGCCAGCTGTCCCTGGCTGCCACCTGCCTGGACCCAGCCCAAGGACACCAGAAGCAACCTGGTTGTGACATCTTGGCCTGGTTCCCTCCCCCGGGGTGGGGCACACAGCAGCTCCCAGGGCTAAGGCCCAAGGAGTGTCCCCTGAGTGGGGCCCGGGACAGGCAGAGGAAGAAGGCTGCAATCTGTTGCTGTGTATTACACCGTTCCCATGCATTTTGGGGCTTTGTAATCTTAGTGAGAAGAAAGCCCCTCCCTCCCGCCCTTTTTTCCCTCTGGGGCATCTCCCTCGACCACAGCGTCCCTAGGTAGCCCTCTTCCTATAGAGAACTTCACCAACCACGCGTCCAATTCCGAGG